TCGCTAGGTGACCCCAACTCCTGGCCTTGAGAGAGGCAGAATCACTCACACAGACACGCCCACTCATTAGCCCCACAAATCCCCAGTCAGCGGACCCCTCCTCAGAGCCCACTACCAGCAGCACCAATAAATCTCCAGCCCCGCAGCGCGCCAACCGCGACCGCGCGCATCCCCCTTTAATTACTAAGTACAACAGGACCGAATATTACGGGCCTCTACAAACGCTCAACCGCTGAGCACGCACGTCGCCCTTACTCCCGATACCGCAACCAATGACAAACCTTTCTGAATTCGGACTCCTCAACCTCCCGCCTCTTCTCAGGGCCCTCAGCTGAGCACTACGACCCTCGCCGCCACTTCAAGGGCTGCGTGACTCTCGGAGTTCCCGCGGAAGTTCGCGCAGTCCCGGACTCATCTCTATCGCGAGACTTTGAGGGTTCTTAGCCTTTCTGAGCCGAAGGTGAACATGGCCGCGCCCTGGAGCGGGAAGTGTAGCAAACTAGGTTGGCGCCATATTTAGAACAGTGTTGGTGCCCCACCGCAAAGAAGCCTGAGGAACGAAGGAGGTGAGAAGGGGAGTGCTGGAGCGACGGAAAAAGTGTACGGGAGCCACGACGTGAGCTAGGGAAGAATTCCAGGTATCCGAGGATGGAGTCGGGGAACCAGTTCAGCTAAGATATGTAAAAATGGACAGCAGAGGACGGGGCAAAGCAAAGACTGGAAGCGAGGTGGGAAGCAAGAGAAGCCCCTCCTGTTACGCCGATGAGGAGGTGTCTCTGCTTAAATCTGCTGATCTTCATCACAGTGCCTCCTGTTCCCAATCTGAGGTAGAGTAATAATAGTAAATGCTTATTGAGCACTTACTGTATGTCTTATTGAGGTAGGTTTTTAACTTTTTTTTTTTTTTAAGATTTAAAGGCATTTGTTTAAAAATAATATATTTACATATAGCATTGTTTTCTACTGTTTTATTTAAAAAATTACTTAAAATCATCTTTGATAGCAGACCCTTATAAATAGAGGCATTCGCAAGGTCATCAAACACTGTTTTTTGGATCTGGTTGAGATACTGCGTTTTCGATTTTTGAAAAGTGCTGGCAGTGGAAATTTTACAAGTCTTCGGTTTCATTTCCATAGTTTCGCACAGTTGATTTTTTTTTTCATTTGTTGTGTAGGAATAGCTGTGATCCTAACGATTTACTGTATTTTTAAAAATTAAATTTGTTGCAGTGATATTGGTTAATAAAATTATATAGGTTTCAAGTGTACAATTCTGTATACATTATCTGTACATTGCATTGTGTGTTCACCACCCAAAGCCAAGTCTCCTTCCGTCACCATATACTTGACCCCCTTTACCCTTTTCTGTGGAGAAGTCAGGATGTAGCACTGTTCGCCCTGGGACAAGGTAAGTCAGAATGTCTTTCATTTGGTGAACTCCAGCCAATTATCCTGGAAAATAAAATTCCTATGTCCTGCCCTGGGAACCCTTTCCCTAATTGGGATGGGAAGACTCTTCACCTGCTGAAAATACATCAGATAGCAGCAGAGGGGAAGTGTTTGGGGATAAACTGAAAGATAATTCAGAACCCCTAGATTCTCCTCTCCACCTGGCTTTGAACTTGCTCTGTGATCTTGAGCCAGCCACTGTCCATCGGTTCTCTCATTTGTAAAGTAGAGGAAGGGTGTGAAATACTCTGGTTATTTCATTGTTTACTGACATAAAAACGAAAGTTTCAGCATCAATATCAGTGAAAAGAATCCAGGTTTGTTTGTTTTTAAGTAATACCATCTACTGTTATTACTATTAAATTAATTAGACAAGGAGGCCATTAAACTGAGGTGGTTCCAATGCTTTAGCAGCCTTCATAAGCAAACCAAGACCTATGCCTGTAAATGCTTCGAGGTTAAGAGATCAAAACCGAAGCACAACCCATCACAAACAGCCAACAAGTCAACTGTTTAAGCTATAGCCCATCAGATAATTTCCTGGCTTTGCTTCCAGGATTCTCTATAAATAGTCTTGCTCCCAGCTCCTGTCAGTCAAGCACTTGTAACCACTTCCCATTTGGTGCTGCCCAATTCAATTTTTGCTCAAATAAACTCTTAAAACTTTTAATATGCCTGTTTATCTTTTTTTTTTAAAAAAAATATCTTTATTGACTTCAGAGAGAGGAAAGGAGAGGGAGAGAGAGAGATAGAACCATCAATGATGAGAGAGTCATTGATTGGCTGCAGCCCGCAACCCAGGCATGTGCCCTGACCAGGAATCGAACCCTGATCGCCTGGATCCTAGGTCGACGCTCAACCGCTGAGCCACGCCTGGCTGGGCTGCCTGTTTATCTTTTAGCATTACTACAAAAAATGCAGCCCTAACTAATGCCTAAAGACACTATGGATTAATTCTCAAGGTTCACTAGCTCTTTAAAACCAGATAGAGTGCACTTAATGCTTCTGGAATGTCCTACCCAACCATATGCCAGGAAAATTACTATTCATGCTTCAAAGCTGGGCATCAACATCCTCTCCTCTCTAGTTCTTTTTTCCCCCCAGAATTTCCAGGCTTCTATTCCTTTTTATGAGCACAGCTGCATAGGTCTTCCCCTATCACAGTCACTGTGCCTGCGACTGGAGTTTTCAGTTTGTGTCATTCTCCGCTTTGGTCTAACAGCTTCTCAGGACAAGACTGTGTCAGAATCAGCTTAGTTACCCTGCCTTTTTTGTTAGCTATATATTTATGTCTACTGACTCTTTCTCTGTAATGTAAAGCTCCTTCATTTCTTCAGCCACACATTTATTATTGCCATGCTTGGTAATGCAAGGGAGGAACTCAGAGTCTGATAGTGACAATGCAACGTGATCAGTGATGTGACTGGGGCATTAGTGTTGAGTGGGCACAATAAGAGGTGGCTTTACTCTGTCAGGAACTAGGTGGTAGTGGTGGGGTGTGAGAAGGGCCCCTTCGGAAGGTTTAGCGATGCTGGTATTCCAGAGGTCTGGGGACATGAAGTTCCTAGACCCACTGTGGGTTCTTGGCTTCTTGCAGGAAAGAATTATAAAACAAGCCAGTGTAGAGTTTAAAGTGAAAGAGTTTACTAGTGAAGCAGTGAGACAGAGGGTGGGCTACTCCACAGACTCTGCAGCCCCTCCCTAATGGGATTTACTTCTTTTATCCAAGCTCTTTTAATTGAGGGGTAGGGTATTCCATGGAGGGGAGGAGTAATCAGGTTATTTCCAGGAAAGGGGCGAGGACTTCTCAAAAAAGCCCCCTGGCCATTTTTGTGTCCTTATCTGGGCTTTCAGATCACAGCAGCTCTGGGTGTGTCGTTTAGCACACTACTGTATTACTATGAGCATATAATGAGGTGAGGGGTCATTGTGAGGTGAAATCCATTGGGGGTTGGTCTTACAACATCCTTGAGAGTCCCTGTAACTCTAATGGGTTACAGCAGTTCACCACATACCCTATCTCTTTAGGACATGATTATAAAAAGTGAGTCTTGGAAGAGGAGCGGGAGTTTATCAGGAAAACAGGGTGAAGAAGGGAAGTCTCAACTGAACAGGAGGTATAAACCACTTCTCACATACCTCCGAGCAGAATGATCCACCTCCACATCTTTATTCAATTCAGGTGGTTCCCTCTGTTGGGAATGTCCACACACTCCTGTTTGGGGAGGGAAGAAATTCCTTACTAAAGATTAGGGGAGTCTCATTTGTTTTGTGAGGCCCTAACTTAATAGTTTTTACATGTGTAATATAATTCAGGGGTCCACAAACTACAGCCCTTGGGAAAATCTTTCCTGCTGCTTGTTTTGATCAAGTTTCATTGGAACATGGCCATGCTCATTCATTTACATATTGACTCTGGTTGCTTTTATGCTGTAACAGATTTAGAGTCACCTCAGTGTGTCAATTTTCTTTCATTGTTCAACTCCAATAATTTTTTAGCCATCATTTCCTCATTCATTGATGCTAACTTTCCATTTATTTTTTACTGCACAGGATGGCTTTCAGCATTCATTTCTACTGTTCAGGCATACCTATATTCCTGTTTAAAGTGCGGCACCATTATGAATTCTCTGAAGTGTGGGAAATTTAATCTGATCATAACCTGGCAACTGTTTTATCCTTCTAAAAAAGTGCAGACTTTCTACTACGCTGGACAGTGATGATCATCCTATGCATACTTCTAGATTTCCACTTGGTAATAAATTACTGATGGACATGGCTTTCACATTGCATTTTCTTCTGAGAGTAAGTTACTTTGTAATAAGGGCATAATATAGGAGTTGATCTTTCAACACATGCACACATACATACAAATTCCATCTATTTATACCTTTTAATTCTCTGAAATGAGGAGGTCAGGAAGGCAGGCACTTGAATAGGCAATATTCGCAAAGGATGGCATTTAATCACATACGTGTTGAGAGCCCATCATTATGCTAGACTAGTATATAGCTGAAATATATTATGAGCAGTATTGACCATGACCGGACAATTCTTGCTTTCGGACTCATGTTTATTTTGAGGAACACATGAGATAGTGATATGCTGTGGAAAAGGTAAAAGATGACATACATGCCAAATATTACTTTATATTACAAAGCCATTTTTGTTCTCTTGTCAATATTTTTGGTGTAACAAGTAAATTTTACAACAGTACAGCTGTATTTTTTATCTATAACTCATGAGTTAAAATTCTAGGTATGCAGTGGAAAGTGTTTCCCATGTGAACTCATATTGATTCACAGTACCTTGTGGAATGCATCTTCACTCATAAAGAGTACAGTGATCCAATAGCAGTGTCTGCTATTGAGCAAGAACATGGAGTTGTGCCATTTGTTGCAATATATTTGATATCCCAGATAGAGGTGTTTGTATTTAAGTGCTTTGAATGAGATAAAATGGAGTGATTGTTCAGAAAATCATTTTCATTCACCTGCATCACAATTCATCTTCAGTCTTTTTAAAAATGCCAAGTAGAAGAAACACAGTGCTGAGTTATAGTTGTAATTTATTATTTTAATGAAAGAACATGTTTAATAGGAAAAGTCTTTGTGAATTCAGTATCAAATTTAATACCATATTCTTAGACTCATCATCATTTATGAATAGGCACAGAAACTTTTACTTCGTCAAACTCATGGAGTAGGCTCAGTGAAAATTTTAATTAGTGTTGATTTATGCATTTAAAATGATTTTAATGGTGGGGAAAATACATGCACATGATGAAAAAGTTCAAACAGTATGCAATAAAAAGGAGGTCTTCCTCCCAGTAAAGACTCCATCCCTATACTCCTGTGCCCAGTGGCAACCACTATTAAGTTTTACATGTATTTTTCAAAGCAAGTCTATTTACATACAAATATATAGACATATATATATATATGTACAGACACACACACACAGAGACAAGCAGACACACACACTCTTTTGTACACAAGTGAGGACATACTATATGCACAGTTCAACGACCTGCTGTTTTCACTTAACCAAATATCTTGAACATAATTTTCTACCAGTGCTGGTGTATCCGCAGCTGCTTTCTTTCATTTTCTCTTAATCCTGTTATCATTTTTTACATAAATATTAACCTTTTTTATAAAGTTTGATGATGCAGAAGGTGACAAAGACATTAAAAGCTGGGTGATAATATCAAAGATGAGCTTATCAATGGTCACAAACATTTATACATGGCAATAAACAGATATGAAAATTCAATTCTTATATGTAGTGTTTATGTATACAACACTCAAGCAACTCAGAAATTTTCAGCATATGTAATTTGTTTCTCTAGTGCTCTGCTTATTAACTTACAATTTTTAAGACTTTATATTTCAATCTGAACATATAGGTCATTTACAATAATTGAGTGTTTTTAGAAAAATATTTTCTACAAAAGGTTTAGTATCAAGTTTAAACCCTCGATTGCGCCTATGTGATGATTCATTTTCAAATTCTCTCATGTATAATGAAGTGTGACTTCTTATTAAAGGCTTTCTAACATCCTTTAAATTTGTAATACTTCTAAGGTTAAATAAAATCTTCAGTTCAGTTAAAAGAGTTCCCACATTTATTTCATTCATGAGATTTCTCTTCTGAATGAGTTTTCACATGTTTGGTAAGGGATGCATTTTGTTTGAAGGCTTTCCCACATTCACTACATTCATAGGGTTTCTCTCCAGTGTGGGATCTCTGGTGTATAACAAGTTGTGACTTTGCACTGAAGGCTTTTCCACATTGATTACATTCATAGGGTTTCTCCCCAGTATGAGTTCTCTGATGTACAATGAGGTGTGACTTTTGGCTAAAGGCTTTCCCACACTCATTACATTCAAAGGGTTTCTCCCCAGTATGAACTCTCTGATGTTGAGTAAGGCCTTCAATTTGTTTGAAGGCTTTCCCACATTGATTACATTCAAAGGGACTTTCACCCGTATGAGTTCTCATGTGGTAAGTAAGAGATGAGCTATGTCCAAAGGCTTTTCCACATTCATCACACTTATAAGGTTTCTCCTTAGTATGAGTTCTTTGATGTATAATGAGGTGTGACTTCTTGCTGAAAGCTTTCCCACATTCATTACATTCGAAGGGTTTCTCACCTGTATGAATTCTCATGTGTTTAGTAAGAGATGAGCTATACTTAAAGGCTCTTCCACATTCATTACATTCATATGGTATTTCACCTGTATGAGTTCTCACATGTTCAGTAAGAGATGAGTTATACCTAAAGGATTTTCCACATTCCTTGCATTCATAGGGCTTCTCACCTGTATGAGATCGCACATGTTGAATAAGATTTGAGCTGTGTCTAAAGGTTTTCCCACATTCAGTACATTTGTAAGGCTTTTCCCCAGTATGAACTCTTAGATGGTCAGTAAGGGCATGTTTATGACCATGGGCTTTGCCACACTGAATACATTCATATGGTTTTTCTCCAGTGTGAGTTCTCTGATGTACAACGAGGTGTGACTTTTGGCTAAAGGCTATCCCACATTCATTACATTCATATGGTTTTTCCCCAGTATGAATTCTCTGGTGGTCTACAAGTCCTTGTTTATGGCTCAGAACTTTCCCACACTGATTACATTCATAAGGTTTCACTTTAGCTTGACTTGTGTCACACTTAGTAGGAGATGAGCTATGGCTGGATGATTTTTCATGTTTCTCTTCAGTTTTAATTTTGTCCTGTTTAGTATGGGATGAGCCATGATGAACTAATTTCTCATGTTTCTTGCCAGTTTGAGTTTTGTCACACCTATTAGATGAGCTACGGTTGGGTAATTTCTGTTTCTTACCAGTTTGATTTTTGTCTTTCTTTGTATCAGATAAGCCATGGCTAAATGATTTCCTGTGCTCTTTAGCTACATCAGGTTCCTTTTTTGCATAGTTTCTTATATGACCAGGTAAATCTAGATTCTGTTTCAAACTCCTTCCCTGTGAATTAAATTTAAGAAGCTTTTTTGGGGAAGAAACTTGTGTTGTAGTCACATTTTTTACCCCCAATGAACCACATTCATGGCCTCTCTTCTTAGTCAGAGTTTTTTTCTTGAATGCAACTTCCCTAAGGAGTTTGTTTTGAGATTCCTGGTGACTCTCTAGCTGGTCATCATCTTGTTGGACTTCTTCTAAAATGGAATTCAATGAGACAGTCTTGTAAATCTTTGCACTCTCATATTTTAGAATACAATTTATAAAGAAATGTGCTGTTGTGTTACTGAATCTTTATTCAAACCTAGTATCCCAAAGTGAATGAAATATCAAGCACAAATGTCCCTATCCTCTTGGATTTGAAGGGGAGGTGCTGTAGTAAAAAGAATAAAAGAAAATTGACAATAGTGATTAGAAAAAGCTTTCACTGTTTATAAGTATGACCTTGTATAGTGGGATAAAAGATGAAATATACACAAGGAGCAGTGAATAGGCAACAGATGAAGTTAAAAGAGCTTGTGATTGTAGTTGACACTTTTTGAGGTCTCTCCTCAGCCCAAGCTTTAATGACTGCCAATCCACCAATAGTATTTGACTCCCATAGCCTGTACTATAGTAATCCAGTTCTCCATGGTCACAGTTGGAGACACATCTGACTCAAGCCAAGATGTCCAATAAGAGTCTTCCTCCTAAAAATTTAGACTCTAGTTAGTCTCCACTGTGTTCTTAAATTTTAAAATAAGACAAGTACAATAAACCCATATTTTCCTGTGTAAACAGAAAATTCATCAGTACAAAGGATAAAGCATACATCCACAGAAAAGCAAAGATGTAAGATCACATGTCTTTAAGGAGACCATTTGCATAATCTCAATTTCCAGTCCTGGTTCTAGGCCCTGGTAAGGCCTAGCTAAAGTACCTGCCTTCAGGTTACAAGAGATCTACCCATGTCCTTATAATAAATTCCTCTATTTACTTAGGCTAGCTCAACTAAATTTTTGTTATAGTACCCCAGAGATCCAAAATAGAGAAAATATGGTAAATCCACCAAGGAGTGCTGAACAGGTTACAGGTGACTGAGGCAGAAAGCAAGAAAGGGTATTCCACTGCTACCATCTATGATCAATATAATAGTCTCATTCCTGTACTTAGAAAACAAACAAAACAAAAAAACATAGTTTCTCTGTAGGGTTTTATCATATGCTTTTACCATGATAAAATTCACAGTAACAAGATTGGCAAACAAACTTTATACCATTTGGATGTACAGTGTACACACACACACTTGTTTTCCAATAGTTTGCTATGGAGTGTACCTGTGTTCCTGTCAGGTCACTTGACTATTGCAAATTACAAATTTTAAGCTTATTTCCCAGCCCTAAGTGATTGCTTACATTCTTTCCTCCACACATTATGCAATTATACATTTTAAGATATCTTCTCAACCCATGCTTCCCTTCTCTGAAACCATCACTCACATTGACAGATGTAGGAAGCCATATTTGTACAATTCAATCCAACTTCTAGTTGAAAACAATTGGTTGGACAGTGGAAAACACCAGGCTCCAGCTAGTCTAATAATAGTCTTTCTCCTAAGAATTTAGAATTGAAACCCAAAGACTTACGGGGGAGGCAAAAGAGAGTTTAGGGGGGATAAATGGTGTTTGTGTGGGAAGCAACCAATGGATGTGTCTACACTGATGTTTCTCTCTCTCCCTTCTCCCTGCCTCCCTTCCGATCTCTCTAAGAATCAATGGAAAAAATATCCTCAGGTGAGGATTAACAAAAAAACAAAAACAAAAAATTCACGAGGTTTTTTGATTTGCTATTTGAAGGACTGGTCCCTCTGATCTTAGGAAATTCAGGAAGTCTTAGAAAATTCAAGGTCAGGGGAAACTTAAAAACATATTGTGGACATTCTGCTAATTTGGAGCCTAATGACATAAATAATAGCTGAATATTTAAATGTTTAGTGGCTACACCTAAGATGAATTTTTTAAAAGAGGGATTCAACAACTCTACCTAATAATTGAAGCAATTTATTTATGTGATAATATGAACCTGATTTGGCCTATGTCAGTGAGAATCGAGTGGGGAGAAACCCAGGCACTGAGGAGAGAATAGTAAGAGAGAAGGCAGAAAACAAAGAGTCATAGAAACTCCATAGTAGACAGGCTTAAAATCAGAGTAGACCCTGATAAAAATAGGGAAGGTGAAAGGAAGTTCTAATTTAGAAAGAAAGATAAAGCTTTCAATTCTGACACTCTGAGAAAGAGCTGTCTTGTAAGTAGGTAAAGTATGAGTGCAACACAAAGGAATTACATATATATCTGGGCAAGATAAATTCATCTTGGAAGTTACCAGTGTAGAATAAAAAGCGTGTATTTGCACAAAGGAGGAGTCCTTGGCAGGAAATACCATAGAAAAAAGAATAGATAGTAGAAGACACACCTCAGGGATAATTCAGCAAAGTGAGAAGGAAGAGAAACTGGTGAAAAAATGGTAAAGAAGCACTCAGAGCATAAAATCAGATTCAAGTGGTATAATTCAAGCTAGGTAGGCAAGAATTTCAGTCTTATCAAAACTATCAAAATGCACTGGAAAGTAAGCCATGGTCATTTTAAAGTCAGAAATTTAGATAGAGACATGAAATCTCTGGCATTTGACTGCAGAGGTGAAAGAGAAAATGTAAATGATGCATTACAGACCACAGGTCTAGAAGATTTCACAGTGAAAGGAGGAAAACGGAAAATAATTAGGGTCAGGAGCATCGTACCAGAGACTTGGAAAGAGGGCAAATCTAAGAATGTCTGAATATATAAAGAGAGAAATCTTGTATCATGGGATATCATGAGTGTTAGTGGAGGAAGAGAGAAAAACAGGATATTAGGGAAAGGGAGGATAATTTTTAAAAGCACTGCTTTAAATAAGGTAAGCAGAAACGAGGTTCAGAGAATAGCAAAGAGGGGTCACTGTTTCTTCTGAAAGCTGAGCAATGGAGAGCATGGATAAGGAGAGGCGGCTATATGGAACGGTCAGTTAGGTATCTAAGGGGCTAGTCCCAAAGGTTTAGAGCTCTGGTTTTCACCTTTTTTCCTACCACAACCTGAGTGATGTATAAATTGTATTATTGTTCCAAGGAAGGATTACACCTCCCAGTCCCATTGCCTGGCCATTTGAATCCGCCCTGTGGAAAGATTATACATTCCTACCCTGTTGAGCTCAGGAATGGTCAGGAGATCCACTCTAACCAATTAACCAATAAAATGTGAGCAGAAAGAGGATATCTACCACTTCGAAACAGTGATTTTAAGAGTCATATGTGGTTCCACTCAATCTTCTTTCCCTCCTGCCATGAGACCAGAATTTGCCAAGTGGGAACTGTTCTTTCAACATAGGTCCACACAATAATGTGAAATAGGCTGCAGCCTGAGCAAGAAATAAATCTTTGTGTAAGCTATTAAGATTGTGGGATCATTCCTTAATGGAGCACAGCGTAGCCTAAGCTGACTGATACTTCCATAAGTAACAATAACTTATAACTATAGTGAACCTCGTGTGAGAACCTTTCCCATAGACAGGTTCACAGAAAGAAGAAATATTAGAATCTTCAAAGTTAAAGAATCTCTGTAGTTTCAAATCCTCTTCCCCCAGGAGAGTCTGATATTTTTCTATTGCTACTTCCTGATAAAGAAAGAAGGATCAGAGATCTTTAAGAAGAATTTGAGAATAAATTATTCTTTGAATAATTCCAAAGTTACTGCTAAGAAATTAGGAACTTACCTCCATTGGCTCCTATTTGCTTGGGTCTTGCTATTTCACCCGGATCACCTTGTCTGGGTCTCTTCCCCTTCCCCAACCATGGCTCATCTCCTTTTTCCAACTTGGAGATCATTTCTGGTTTGGCAGCTTGATACCCTGTTCATGAGAAATTGCAGACATTGAATGTTAGAACCACAAGCATCCCAGAAATCAAGCCCTAATATTTGAGCTTCAGAGCCTTTAAAGGATAAAAAATATACGGATTTTGAGATTTCACAGTGTGGATATCCATGTACCCCATCTCAGTAGACCTTCCATTTTGAAGGCAAGGGCACAAGTATCCTGCGTAGTACCCAAAAGGGATTAAAATGCCTTGACTTGATACCGAGAGAAGGTATCACAGTGGACATATTTTAAATTACAAAGGAATTGCACTTACCCATTGAGGTGAGGTTGCTGTAGTTCTCCAACATCACATCCTTGTACATGATCCTCTGAGCAGGATCTAGCTGCTCCCATTCCTTCTGGGTAAAGGCCATAGTCACATCTTTGAATGTTACCGATCCCTGTAATAGCATATTCTTGTTCAGTCTAATGTTATGTACATTAGTGAGCGTTTCGACAGATAATGACTTGTTCTTGCCTGGCCAGCATGGGGAGCATCAACCCACGAACCTGGGGGTCACGGTTCGATTCCTATTCAGGGCACATTCCCGGGTTGCTGGCTCAATCCCTAGTAGGGGGTGTGCAGGAGGCAGCCGATCAATGACTCACTCATTATTGATGTTTCAGTCTCTCTCTCTCTCTCTCTCCCTTCCTCTCTCTGAAATCAATAAAAACATTTTAAAAAAATAACAATAATGACTTGTTCTTACCTTGACCATTCACTGTTGATCATAATGTTATATAGGATTCTCTACCCAATTTTGAATTTTTTCTTGAGAATCAAAAATAATATTAAGAAGTGTCCCTACTATGGACTAAATGTGTCTTGTCCAAATTCATATGTTGGAACTCCTGTCCTCCAATATGATGGTATTAGGAGATAGGGCCTTTGGGAAGTAATTAGAATTAGATGAGTCATTTGGGTGGAATCTTTGTGAATGGGATTAGTGCCCTCATAAGAGTCACAAGAGAGCTTGCTTCCTCTCTCTGCTCTTTCAGCCCGTGAGGATAGAAGTCTGTAACTTGGAAGAGGTTACGTATCTCAAATGGGCATCCAATACTGTCAGTTTTCTATTCCTCTTTCCAAGATGATTATGCCAAACATTGTCAAAGTTCTTTCTCTTTGAAATCTCCAATATATACTCCTTTTCCACTCTCAGCTGATGAATCTGCCTTATACTTCAAAGAGAAAACAGACACAAATGGACAAGAACTACCTTGCCTTGTTACCACCCATTCCACTATCCTGTTTCCAAACCCATACAATCTATCTTCCCTTCTGGTAAAATGGAAGAACTGCCCTGTTTCTCACCTAAGGCCAGTTTGTCCACTTACGCTCTGGATCCCATCCTCAATTGCCTTTTCAAGGACTTGCCCCCTGCAGTCAACCCTTCTGAACCATTTTTCCCTTTCTACTGGGTCATTCTACTTAATATCATTCATCTGAAGAAAACCTCTCTTAATTGCATGTCCCATCCAATGTCAATTTCTTTGCTCCCTTTACCAACAAAACTAGTGTTACCTATACTTACCGTTTCTACTTCATGACCTTCCATTCTTTCAACTCATCCCAACAGAGTTTTATGAATCCACTAAAAGAGCTATAATCATTCAAAATAACCCTTGAGCTACATCTTGCCAAAGTCAAATTCTCTGTAGTCATACTTCTGGGCCTCACAAGAGCATATGACACAACTGATTTTACTCCCACTGTTTTGGAAAGCTTTCTTCCCTATGCTTTTTTGACACTACATTTGCATTCCTCCTACCTCAGCTCAGTGGCTACCCCTCTTTTTCTCTTTTTTGGTTTTCTATCAGACCTCTAAATGTCAGAGTGACTCAGAGCTCTGTCCTCGTCCCTCTTGTCTTCCCTATCTGCCTTCTCTCCCTAGCTCATGCCATCCAACCTTATGGCTTTGAATACCACCTTAATGCTGATACCTTTCAGATCTGGATTCCCTAGCCCAGACCTCTCCCCAGCTCTAGATCCATGTGTCTAACAACTACACATCTCTACTTGGACATGTAACAGGCATCTTGAGAGGGCCTAAAAACAGAACCCGTCATCTACCCTGGCCCCCACTGATACCCACCGAACCCGGTCTTCTCCAACACAACCCTCTTCCAGAAAACGGAATCGCCATCCATCAGTCCCTTCCGGTGTGAATCTTGACTCCTCGCCTCCCTCTCGTCCCGCATCAGTCCACCGGGGAGGCCTGGCTCGTCTCCAGCCGCCGTCCGCCTGTGGCTCTTCATTTCACTGCTACACCGGGTGCCCAACCATCACCGCTGCCTCCCTGTAACTCTGACACCAACGCTGCTAGCGGACCTCCCCGCGGCCCTGCGCGCCCACAGGGGCAGCCCAGTCTCCCGCCACCGCAGCCGCCATAGTCGCTGGTTCCCACAGACACCCCAAATTGTGCACCCCGCACACTCCCCTAATATCTGACACACCACAAAGCCGAGGGTCTGATCCCCGTAGCCTTGCAAACTGACCTTTCAATGCCTTCCACAGTCACAGCCCCATCACTGTCACCGCAGACCCCTCAAAACACGGGTTCCTTAAACTGTCGCGCTCAGAGACCACACAGACGCGCTCATCCCTGTCACCGCAGGTCCCTCGACATGCTGATCCCCTCCCCAAAGGCCCTCGGCATCGGCTGCAGTTGCCAAACCGACCGTCTCCACAGACAACACCGGCCCGCACTTCGACCGCCTCCGCCCGCCCGGCCCGGCCCTCGCGCTCACCGCC